TCATTGTACTGGGAAGGGGGAAAAAAGATTGATCCTGACCAGAAATAAAGAGGCTAATTCCATTCAATAAAAGCTTGACAACTTGCTAATGATTAAACTACTTCACATATGTGGTAAGATTATGTATTCTGAAATAGATGTATTTATCTGTCTTGATCAGATAGCTCATGCTTCCATTGCTGCTGACAGTGGAGCACAGTCTCAGATATTAGCCAGGGAAACAGGCTCTGGGACGTGCCCTGGGTGGGTCCTGCTGGAGCCTGCTGGGTTTCCAAACCAGGTACCTGGCTTTGCTTTTTATGGATGGCAGGGTACAGGCTGGTGGCACTGAGGAGAAATTAGTGGTGTTCACCTGGGTTTTGACCTACTCTGGAACTGGAACAAGGGCAAGTTGTGGGTCAGATGTCTCTTATGTGTCAAAAGCTGTGTAATTTATAATTTAGGTTACCACACAGAGACCAGAATCCCCTAGTCTACCTTTTAATGCACACTCATAGACCAAATTAAACCCCACAACCTAGAATCCTCACAAAATATGGAACTTATTTTACTTATTGACCTATCCTCTGTATGCTTATGTTATCAGAGCTGACAAGCCAACAGTTTTCAGGGAAAACAAGTAATTTAGTAACTTCATCCCTCCTAATTCTTCTCACTGCATGAAAAGCAGTCTCCTTTTACAGTTGCTTTGCATTCTTACCCAAAATATGATAGACCATGACAGAGGTCACTGGCTGCTGAGTTTTCTGCCACAGCTCCACATGCATCCATCACAACCAGCTGGGGATGTTTCCTCTGGAGTTACTCTTGAGGTAACAGTCAACAAAACCTCATGCTGCTACTGGAAAATCCTGCCACAAAACTGCTTAAACACCTGTGTGGGGCCACTGAGCAATAACAGTCCCATGCACTGAAAGCAAAATTAGGCAAAGCATATTTGGTCCATTAAGAAAACATATTGCTTGAAATTACAGTGCCCCAGCATGCCTGGGTCTTGCTTGTGGTGCTGGCTCCAGAGGAGAGGGCTCCCAGCTCTGTTTCAGCATGGGACATTTATTGACCTCATTTCAGTGGCTGACAACGTTCTCTCTGTCAAAGAAATCTGGCAGAGAAGATTTTAATGGGGAGAAACAGCAACATCCTCGTCCATCAATAGCTCTAAGTTGTAACTGATGTTAAAAAATAAGCAAAGCCACCTGAGGGAGAAAACCTTGGAAAACCAGTGATGCTGGATCCATCTGGGCTCCTGAGTACTGCAGGCACCCAAGACCATACACCTGTCCCTCAGCATGCAGCTGAGAGCAGGGAAACACTGACAGCCTCATCTGATTTCCCCAAATTATCTGGACTTTTCTGTCCCACTGGGAGCGACCTTGGTCCAGAGCAGATCCCCAGTGCACGAGCTGGCACTGGGGGACAAAGGGGCAGCAGGCTGGGGGAACAATCACAAGGGTCTCACCCAAACTGTGCCAGCTCTGAGGCAGAGCAGAGACTGTCTGTCTGCAGCACTATCGATCCTGCACAAGCACTAAATTCATTTTAAGGATGCTGAGAGACAGCGAGTAAACTGTACGTGACAGATGTTAGTCACATTGCTTAATGTACTACTCGGAGGTGTTCAGATGCTCTCGTGATGAGGGTGCAAATAAAATCAAGGCAGAATAGAGTGAAACAGGCTAAGAAGATTTTTCGTTTTGGAAAGCTGAAAAAGGGGGGTTTTTATAGCTTGAGGGGGAGTAAATTTTGTAGTATTTTTTCCTCTGGATCTGACATCATAGATTTTCCCTCTGGAAAATCTTCTGACTTTGAAGCAGACTCTTAGAATTCTTTAGAAATTACACTGCAACCAGCAAATTGGAAGACACACCAAGAATACCTTTTATGTTGAAAATACCAGGAAAAACAGTCCAATGGCTATTGAGAGAGATGCAGAACTCATCAAGGCCAAATTGTTCTGAAATCTTATGAAAGAGAAAGAAGCCCACAAAATAATAAAGCAAGATCTTTTGTACCCTTTCCCCACTTCTCTCTGTGCTGTTTCCAGCACTTCAGTTCACAGGCTCAGTTGCAATCAATTTTAGCTTGTAACAATTCAGCAGTTTAAGATCTCCATAACAGTTTAGACCACCGCTGTTCAATGGGCTGCACTGCTTTTGGGGAAAGCCTGAGTTGTGCTAGGGAGGAAAGTGCAAAAGGAAGGAAGAATCAGGGAGGCAAGCTGCTTCCAATTTGTCTATCCAGAATCTAAGATCTTTTTATGGAGTGTGGGTTATTATTGGAAAGATATTAGTCTTCACCTCTTTGAGAAGCTCTCTGAGTGCTTCCTTTATGAGTTTTGTCATTTTCTTGCTTGGAGCACACGGAAAAAATGCCAGCCCACAGGATACAGGGGATAAAGCAAGATCAAAGGCAACCATTCAGCTTTCTGCCACTGAATAAAGCAGGGATGTTTGCCTGTTTGGGAAAATCAGTAGCAAAATATCTACAGGGTGACCACTAAGTGGTTCCTCATGAGAACCTCAGGGGAACACCTAATGCAAAACACCTTTCACGAAGGTGATGGGGATTTTGCTTAAGAGAGACCCCTTGAAATGTTAGTGAGGGGTAAGTAAGTCATGAACAGTCTGGCCCTTGCTCCCTTCTCCTGATGGCCGTGAGCAGCCACATCCTGGGAAGAGTTTGGCGCCCGAGCAACCCAGTGGCAAAACGACACTCAAGAAGCAGCGGCTGCAAGCAGAATCTGAGGAAAGCAAAGTGATTAATTACTTTGGAAAGACACCCCAAGCCATAATTTCATCCTTCTGGCCGTAACCAGGCAGAGAGCTGGGAGCATGAGCAGCAAGGATACAAAAAGCACAGCCATCCTAATCTGAACCAGCCCCCCAGAAACAGTCTGGGGGTGTTGGATGGCCACTCACTTTCCCTTTTAGAGCAGCAAGGTTCCTGCTTTCCTCTTTTTGTCATCCTAGTGTAGAATTGAGATGGTCTGAGGGTACCAGTAAAGACAGAGAAGGACTGATCACTCTGAAATTTGGCTTTATGAGTGGTTGAACTGCTGCATTTGGGGTTCTTTGCTTTTTGGTGTGTTTTGGAGGTTTTTTTACAGGTTGTTCTCAGCTGCCTGTCAGATGGGGCCATGATGAAACCTAACATCTTGCAGAGACATAAAATGGAAAACAGGCAACTCATCAGAAAAGTAGCAGCTGTTTTACACCATCACTAAACAAAATCATCATACACTAAAAACTAGATTTAGCAGTTTAAAAGAGCTACTAATGCAAAATTAGCTGGAGACAACAGCGTGGTTTTGTAACTGACAGTGCTTCACTCCAACGCCCTAATTCATGCAAAAACAACTTAGGAAACATTAAACGGCTGATGCTTTTGGAAAGAGGAAGAGCATCCACTTTCAATGGCTGCTTAGGAAGAACATGCAGATTTATTACATCATCTTTTTTCCTTTTACAAATTTTAAATAAGAATTGTGTCAAAACTGCCACCTCTTAAATAACAACGATGCTATAGTCCTCCTGACAGAGGGAGATACCAGCTTTTATTGGCAAGTCATTTGTATTTATGGCAGGCTGAAAGCCAGTAAAAAGGTTGTGCAGAACTTTAACAGTGAATGAGATGGAATAAGAAGGCCTTGAGCACTTTGGATCATCAAATACTTCAATAACTGGATATGGCTGTTCATACAACCATAAATTCATACACATAGAGAGGATATAAAGACACAATTGCCATATGAATGGACTTTCTGTTGCCTTCTGGAAACTCCTATGTGTGTGTGATCTGTTCTAGATATAGGTGTCACACAAGCTTTCCTTTGGCCCAGCTGTGTTTCCCACTGAGGATGAAAATTTCCCTGTATTTAGAAATGCCCATAACCAACACAGTTTATGAGAATTAGAAATCTGCCTGGCAAGAGACTCAGCTGATCACTCTACTACCAAAGGATATGTAGCTTGGCTGGAGGTCTGTCATCTTGTAACAGTGAAGGGTTGAGTCCTGATTGCTTGGGACTAGGTTTAATTTGTCCATACAATTACTAAGATAAGAACTTGGTTTATTTTCCCATGAAGTAGCTGCCCTGCTCTGGCTGAGGTGCTTCCATATCTCCCATATTGTCAAGTCCCTTCATCTGTATGATCTGACCCTGCCAGTCTTAGGGGATTCTCCCATCGAGTCCCATCAAAATCCTGCCTGAGGGAAGAATTCAGGGCTGAATATAGAGCAAAAAAGGAATAAAATTTTAGCTGAGGTCTGGCTATTTGTTCTGTGCAGACAAGTTGTGGCCCTGAAGAAGTCTTTTGTTTCCTAAAAAATTGTGAGGGTGGGAGCATAAAAAGTGCCCTGTACTTCAAGGGTATTTTTATTTAGATGCTACTCTTCAAAAGACTATATATAGCAGTCTAGTTGCAATCTAAAGTTTGAAAAGTTGCAGACTCTTGCAGACAGTCTGATGGATCTAAATTTTTCAGCTAAACAACATCTATGCTCTTGACCTGAGACCTGGATTTCACATTTCAGGAATTAAATGAGCATCATTTTCTCAAAGACATTAGACCAAGGCTGGGCTATCCAAAGGATGGCTTCACGATTTAGATGAAGATGTTGTCATGTCAAGGAGACTTAAAACCTGACATATCCTTTTTCTACTGAAAAGCCAGACCTAGTTTGTTATACCACATTGTAGCTTCTTACATGCAGGAGACAAAGGAAAAGTGGAGGTTGTTCTGGATTTAACATCTCTTAGAGGATTCTCTGCAGTAACAGGGTGTAAGGCTCAGTGCCCCTGATGATCTGGCCTTGCCTTATATTGCTGTGTTTGAAATTTATCCAAAGACTGTGCCAAAACCCTGCCAAAATATAAAGGAAATATTGGTGACCTCTGCCAAACTGTGAATCTTCTGAAATACCTCAGATGCTTTGATTAGACTGATGGAGTTAAGCCTGAAGAAAGGGGAGTGGGAAATGAAAGGAAAAGTATTCTTTACCTTATGCTGCAGAATTCAGGTGTGTGTCTTAGTATTCATCCTCCTTCCATGCAGAAATCCTGTTTTTCTCAGGAAGGTGTTCAGCCTGCTTAAAAAAAAGCAAACATCAACAAAAAAAGATTAAAACAGAAAGTAAATTGGGATGCAGGCAAGTAAAGGAGACCTTTTATCCCTTGAAAAGGCTGTATCCAACCTCAAGGAATTGGAGCCTTCACTTTTCTTTGGCTGCAAACAGAAAAACTCAGCTTGTGGCTCACAGGTACATCCCAAAGTGGAATCCTGTGGGACCTGGGCAGCCCTAAAGCCACCCAGCTATGCCACTGCTGCATCCCTGGGGGGATGGAGACAGAACCTCCTGGCAAGCAAGGCACAGAGCCAGAGGAGAGATTGACTGATCTTGTTTCAGATCAGATGGATAGCTCCAAGTGACCTGTAAAGACACTCCCTGAGCCCTGAGCCACAGCATTAAGAGCCAAGACACCACTAGCACGTCTGAAGTAGTTATTAGTGACTGAAGTAGCACTTGTCAACTGCAACTTCAGTTTCAAGTAATAGTTTAACAGCATCAACTAGAAGAAAGGTTACATCTCAGTGTGTCTGGTGTGCTGCTGACACTTAAAGGAAATAATTGGTAGACTTAGAGCAGGGGCAGATGCCCGTGGTAGAGCAGGGGAGGAGGTTGGGTACTCAAAACAAAACTCCAGCAGTATCATGTGATACAAGAGCCAGGAATCCATCCTAATCCCTGGCATAAAAAGTATGAGGAAGCTGTAAGCCAGCCTGTGGAAAGAGCTCTGTTCTCCCCACGTGAGCTGGGTTGCTGTGATTTCCAAAGACCCATCTACAGCTGCAGTTTGCAGCCCTGTCCTAACAAGAGGTAAAAAAAATATGTTGTTCCTTGAAGTTGTTGGCCAGCCTTTTGGAAAGCACATGTAATGCAATCTCCAGCTGATTTTTGCCTTCAGGACAGCCCAAGAGAGAAAGTGTGCTTGTGTGTGTGTGTGTGTGTGTGTGTGTGTGTGTATTCATGTGTAATGTGGAGAAGGCAGAAAATAGTCTGGAATGAAGTGAGGAGTCTCATTTTACCTGTACTTGGGCTGTGTGACGGTAAAATAGAGGAATTAGCATGCAAATCCAGCAGTCTCCTGGCTGTCATCACCTTCCAATTAGCTGCATTTGATTTTGGTGGGCGCTGAAGGATTGTGTCAGCAGATGAGGTGGGATGTCTGATGGGTGCTCTGGGCAGGAGGTGCTCTGTATGTACATGTTTTTGCCTTGTGCTGGTGGCTGGAATGATGCTGACCTGCCAAAATAAAAGCACTGCTGTCACTCACTGGCCAGAGGAACTGATTCTGCTCCTGGTGACCCTACCTTTCTGCAAACATTAGTGCAACAACCACAGAATTGTAGAATATCCCTAGTGGGAAGGGACCCACAATGACCACAGAATTCCAACTCCTATTTGATCCACCAGTTATCCAGGTCAAAGCATGGGTGTCTCAAATACATAGTTTGGAACTGTCTTTCTGGTTCCTGTCCCATTTTTCTTCCATTCTGCCATTTAATAACCATTTTCTGATTTATATTATTGATTACTTGCATTATACTTATATATATATATATATTATATATATAAATTTATATATATTTATATATATTGATTACCTGATTACTGCATCCTCAGAGTCCCCATCACTGAGGTTAGGGAGCTGCTGTGCTTGGTGCTGTAGAAATATAAAATCTTGCTCTTGTCCCAGGAAATGCTCAGACACAACAAAGGGAAGAGGAACTGGCAAAAAGGAGAAATAGCAGGAGAACATGCACCAACATAAAATGTAGCTGCATCCAGGGAAGCAGAGCTTTGCAGATTTACTTCTTGCTGTCATAAGTCACAGGGTGTCTGTCCTAGCAGCCAGCCTGGGAGGGTGGACAGGATTCTGGCTCCTTGTCCCTCTGACCTTCTCCTAACTGTGACCATCAGACCAAGCTAAAGAGCGAGGCAGTGTCTTCAAAGTAAAGAATAGCTTTCATTTGTTGAAACAGAAGGACTGTCATGAAGAAATATCTTTCTTCCAAGAAGGACACCAAAACAGCAACACATTGGTCACACAGATAAGCTGGAGAAATTACATTTACAGAGTAATATGGAAAAATGTACATGTGATTCAGTTTGTCCAGGAAAATAAAGAATGTTTCCACAGAAAAAATCCAAGCAATTCTAAACCTCTGTAAGGGTTTCAGTCGTGTGGAGCACCAGGAAATTCAGTATCTTTTCTGTTTGTCATAACTAAAACTCAGAAAGGCATAGACACATTCTGAAGGTAATAAATTAGAGAGGTGAGCCAGCTGAAAAAATTCCTTACCTTTGGAGCCTTAGTAACAAATATGAGTCCCAGATCATGATAGGGAAAAAAACCCAAAAAAAACAAAGAGAAGCAAAGAGGCAAGATTTTGTGGGGAGGAAACTGGAAATTCATGGTTAGCTTAAGATGACAGCTTACCATGAGTGAGTAAAAGTGAAAGATGCTGCATGAAGTTTTGGTTTTGGACAAAAAGAAACAAGTCCAGAGTAGACTTGTGAGTCTTGTCAGAGCATGGATGCTTGAGCTTGGATATGCAGATAAGGTTGCCAAGAGAAAGGTAGGGGAGCAGAATGGAAGAGAGTAAGAATTTTTATTTGTGAAGCCAACATATAGTTGTAGGGTGGGGAGATGATGAAGAGCCTGGAGTAAACCAGAGCAACATTAATAGAAGACTGAGACCTGGGTGCTCAGAAGAATAGAATTTATTCCAAAAGGAAGGAACCATGGGAGAAGAATTTAAGATGCTGTTAATAACAATGTAGTATTTAACTGTAACAAGAATATCAATGGTACTCTGAGCTATACACATCTATTTCTGTTGGGCTGGATTATCTTAAGAGAGAACACGCCAAGAAAGCTTAAAAGAGCCCTGCCACTTTTGGCATCTACCCCAAATGAGGCCTGCACCTCCACCCTGTGTCTCACTGAGACTGAGAGCTTCTGTCCTTGAATGTTAAACTCATTATCTGGTAGGTGTGGACAGTCTTGTGTATCACAGAGCCAGGAAGAAATTTGACATCAGCATGTCACAGGGAGGGGGGGAAAAAACCCAACTCCTGAGAAATGTTGAGAGTATGTGTATTTTTGGCAGAGGATACCAGCCAGACATGTCAGCTGATAGCATCCATAGAAGTGGAAGACTGAAAATGAACTGCAGTACAACAAACACAGATTTCACAACTGAAAGCAGCACACTGACATTTATATTAGCTCCATTTGACATGACCTGATGAGCTGGACTTGGCTGGAGCAGAGCCTGTCACAGCAGCCACCATCCACCCACTTGTGGTCCAGCCCTCCAGCCCCCCTGCCCTGTGCCTTCCTCACCCTCCTGGAAAAAAAGGACATCAGACCCATGCTGGTGCTCTTTGCTGTGAGAAGGTCAGTTCCTGGGCCAAATGCTTGGCTAATGGGTGGAGGCAGAGCTTTTACCTTGCTCTGAGGGGTTCTGTGGCAGACCATGGCCACCAGTGCAAGCCAGGAGGGCTTGACAAGCCCCATCTAGAGAAGAAACGTGATGGGGTCAGCAGAGGTTCCCCTCCTCCAGGCTGTTCTGCACTGACCAGAGTAACTCCTTTGACCTTGGTGGAGTTACCTTGATTTACCTGAAGGAAATAGCAGAGCCCAGCCTGATAAATTCTGTCTGGTTTATGGCTTTGCGTATGAGAGAAAGGGAAGTTCGGACCTGCAGTCCCCAGGGCTACTTTGGGGGCTGACTGTCAAGGTGTGTTTTTTATTGTGTGTACTGCTTGTCTGATGATAGGAACTAAATTGAGAAGAGGCTCATTTCTCACAGGCCACTGAGCAACCAGAATGTGCTAACTGTCATACGTAGGAAGCACTCAGGTGTCGGGATTGTCAAGAGAGAAAGTGCAGTGCTTTTTATTAACTGCAAGAGCAATCAGCTCTGTCTGGGTCTGCTCAGTCTTGTGGAAACACATAGTTCACACTGGGCAATGCTCAGAGGCTTAACACAGGTATCAACACTGTGCCTGCGGTAATAACTTCACATCAGAGCTGTTGCATTACAGACTGGTGCATAGTCACAACTGCACTTGTGGTGCTTGGTAGTCTGATCCCTCCAAGGCATTTGCTAAGCCTGAATAGGCTGAAAATTGCACCACTCAATTGCATATTTAAAATGGATTTTATTTTGCTCTCTGAGGTCTTGCACAGTGTATGCAAGGGCTGTGTGCACCCCTCTGCCTGGCATGGTGCCCTGCTCAGAGGCTGCCTGTGCTGCTTCACCCTCAGGTCTGAGCAAATGCAGCTGTTTCCAGGGCTTTGGAACAGAGAATGGAGCCAGGCAGGGTGGTGCATGGCACAAGGACCCTAAAAAGAAAGAGGGTGATGAATATTCAAGGTCAGATCCGAAGGGGCTTTGAGCAGCCTGGTCTAGTGTGAAATGTCCCTCTGCTCATTGTCTGTCTGCTCATGGACTAGATGACTTTAAGCATCCCTTCCAACCCAAACTGTTCCATGATTCTGTGAAGATGATTTCAAAACACTTGCAGGTTTTTTTCCTCAAATTAAGTTCAGATCCACTGAGTCCTTCCCTGGAGGATATGAAAATACCCTCAGATTTCGAGGGGAATTCAATCTGATCTTGATTTGAATTTGGCTAATTTGAAGAACTAAAATTGGGTTAGATTCAAACACAATTTAAAAAAAAAAATCAAATTACACTTTTGAAAAGTGTTTCTAGCAGCAGCATCAGTGCCACTTAATGGTGGCAAAAGGGTCAGATGTGGTCCAGGTTTCATCTGCATCCTGACATTGTGTCACTGCTGGACTCTGTGAGATGATCTCAGAGACTTTCTTTTCTCAGCTGGGACATCTCCAAACATTGACCCAAAGGTACCATCACAAGCAAATCCCTGCAGCATGCATAGGAAGGAGGTCAAATATCCCTCAAATCCCTAAATTGCTTCCACACTGCCTAGAGCTTATCAGAAACAGTACAAAAGGTTCAATCTCTGTCAAGGAGTGGCTACATCTATAGGAGCTGCCACATCTCAGGAAGCTCCAGAAGTGAGGGAAATCTCTAACCTGTTGCCTCAGCTGGGAGTTGTCTGTCTGAAGTGATGGGTCTATTACATTTCCCTAGCATAAAATCAGCTCACAATTAAATATATATGTGTGGGCAAAGTTCCAATCTGTTTACCTCCCCGCTCTACCCAGGGAGAGCCCTGAGAACAGCATTAAAACAAGAGGCCAGCTGGGCCAACAGAAATGTTCACGGCTGGCTGCAGTGCAGCACTTAGCTGCAAACACAGAAAATAGCCCACCACATCAGAGAGAGGAAAATGAAACACAGGAGGCATGCTGCCACTGCAGTGCCTGAGCAGCTCCCTTTCCACATGGCCTGGGGTGCTCTGTGTCCCTCCCTGTGCCTGCAGGTGCCTCGTGAGCACGTTTTGGGGACAAGCAAAGTGACACATCCTGTCACCAGAGCGGGGTGGGTCAGCTGTACAGCAGCCTGTGCCCTTAGCAGGTGCTTCAATGTCAAAGGTATTAAAGCTGGTTATTTTGAGCGCTGTGCCAAGTGCTGTGCGGGCTTGTTCCTCCCCTACCCCCATTCTAATTAAATTTATAGGCAGCAACTACGAGCTGGGCTAGGAGTGGAGCTGTCAAGTTAAGAGAGAAGCTCCAGCGCTGCAAAACCCTCCAGCTGGAAAGACAGAGTTTCTGATGGTTGCTGTATTTTCTGGAAATTATCTCTCCAGTCTCATCTCTCATGTGTTTCCCCATATATCTCATCTCTCCCTCCGTCTCTCACGCACCCAGGTGCACGCACACACACAGAGGCACGTGCCCACTCTGAGTTATGGGCTATAGTGCCTCAGTTTGGTGGATTACCCCTGTCTTTACAGGAATATATACAATATAGCTGAGGGCTCTATCTTTCTGCCAGCTACATCAGCATAAGGCAGGCTGTTCCAGCAGTGAAAATGCCTCATTTAACCCTAGATACAGGCAATTCTGATTTTCAACGGAGCTGGTGAGAACAGCAGGTTTGCAGCTCTCAACTGATGGTCCTGTGACTGCGTGGTGCAAAGTTGTCCCAGAGTTTACACCTCATCCACCACCATAAGACTTGTTAGAACAGTGCTATGGGCATGTCCCAGATAAACTGGGGCAATCTTGGTCACTGTTCCAAGATTAATTTCTCCAGCAAGGCAAAAAACTGAGATCTTCACATGGTTTAGAGTGAACATTTCCTACAGCTTTCAGCTTTACACAAGGCCATCCCTACAGGCCTCAGCATCTCAGAGGAGCTCTCTGATTTTGCCTGAGCAGTGTCTCCAGAGACAGCAGCACCTTAAGGGATGAGGCAGCCCCAGGACCTACAGATGCTCTTTCTCCCCTCTGGAATTTTTCTGCAGGGGTTCCCCTGACCTAGACTGGGAGAGGTGGTAAGATTGCAGCCAGCAGAAAAATGGCAGCATGCCAAACAAATATATTTTCTTCAGCCCTTCTGAGGGTCGTGTAGCTTCAAACTTCAGTGTGTTCTCACCTGCACACACTGGAGTGCATTGGCTGGTCCCTGTGTGGCACAGCAGAATGCTTATCCAGTTCATTTCCCTCTGGCCACACTGGAGGACAACAATTCCAATAAATCTCTCTCATCCAGAGGTTGCTCACAAAATCACCAGGGGAGGTGGCTTGGTGGAGGGTTTCAGTGTGCTGTTCTACACATTGCAGCTGACTTTGAAGCAGCTTAAACAAACTGGAGAGTGATGTGATTCTGATTGCTACATCTCCTGGATGAGATGTTGCATTGCAAAGCCCAAACCTGATCCCCAGAGTTTTTCAGAAGAAAAATTCCCTCAGCCATTCAACTACCACTCAATTCCTAAGATAGTTTTCCAAAACTGAAAAAAATCAGACAAAGATGAGGTGAAAGATACATAAGGGATTGAAGGATAAAAAAAAATATTTTTTGGTAGAGCAGGGAACCTTCAAGAGGTGCTGAGTGTCCACAAAGAATGCTAGGGAAGATGGAGTTTTTCAAGTCAGGCAATAGGTTTCCCTGTTACTATTTGCTGGTTTTGTCAAAGAAAAAAAGAACAAACTAAAGCAAACTATCCAAAACTTCATGGCTGATACTGTTAGAAAATCTTTCTCTAGGTGCTGGGGGTTGGTGACACAGAGAATCAGGTACATGTAGTGCCTTGGTACCATCTTTAAGTAAAATCTAAAGAGTGGGAATTGAGTGCAGTTTAGGTCTCCTCACAAATGGCTTAAGTTTTAAGATGTTTTGATGTAACCTGGAAAACTTGTGATTACCAAATTAGTTGGTTGATAAACCTTCATCAGGATTCTTTTTAGGGAAAAAAGTAAAGTTGATTTTTTACTTCAACATGAGTTAATTTTATATTAATTTAACTTGGCCAACTTATTAGGGCAGGAAAGGATAAAGAGAGAGAGCTTGTATTCCTTTAAACTCGTACTGCAATAGAGGCAAACAAATGGGAAAATTTCCTCATGTACTTATATTTTAAAATCCACATTAATTATAAATCCACTTATTCTTTGTAAAGGCAGGGACTGCAGCCTGGTTGGGGGAGGGAATAGGGGGTCATGTATAAATTGTATCCCAAGGACCCCACTGAAATTTCCATAGCATTCACCATATGACACTGATGTGTGAAAATTGACATGAAGATTTGAAAATTGGGACCGAGGGAGACCAAGCATAAAATAACTTCAATTTTGCGCTCTCTCTGTCTCTCAGAGGAATAGTGCAGTGGACTGACCAACACAACACAAACAAGTGAAGGGGAGAGAAAAAAATATTCAGGGAGAAGGATAGTAGTTATTAAAGAGAAAACACACTCCTCACTCACAGAGAGAAAGGATGATCAATGGATTTAGTCACAGAGAAATTCAAGCAGAAAATTGCTGCTGTTTTTTATCTGAGAGGCAGAAAGTTTAACCAAACCAGAATCCTCTCAACTCACACTCAAGGCAAACAGTGAAGAAAACCACTGTGTTTTGGAACAGTGGGAGAATTTTGTTTGTATGTGTATGTGTAAATTTTTGTTTGTGATTTTGCAAGTGTTATGATGCCAAATAAACTGCAAGGTAAAATCCTCACCTCCAAAAAAGAGCTACATTTTATTCTATCTCTATTCTTTCACTCTTGTTTTTATGATTCTGAATGTGGTTTTCCAGAACTAAGTTTTGGTATTTTGGAGCCTCCTGCTAACACTTGTGTACACCAAACCCAGCTTTAGGACTGGTTCTTTATGCCTCCCAATAAATAGATCACTTTGCGAAGGCAAAGGTACTAAAATATCACTGGCCTGTGG